TTCAAATCTGAGAAGCCTAAGGAGTTCTTTCGCAGAAACCCTAGTTCTAGTTTGGGGAGAAGCCATTTAGGGATTTTTCACTGAAGTTCTTTTGCTTCGTGGATTTGGGAGATGAAGTGAAGACTATCTGTATTAATTTATTCTTTTCAAAAAGGAGCCGAGGCGCGCCTCACAGGCGCCTCTCGCCCCGCGAAAAGGCGAGCCGAGGCGACCTGAAGTGAGCGCCTCACGAACAGGGTCGCCTCAGGCAGTGGCGAGGCGATATGGTCCTCGCCTCGGTCGCCTCGCCTCGAGGCGTCGCCATGGCGTCGCCATTTTAAACTATGCCGGAAACAGTGATGACCAGCAGAGCTCAGATGCTAAAAGTGTTGTGGAACTAACAAATAGCTCCTCTGGTTAGTGGATTGCGGTGTTAAAAAATTAACATAAGAAAATATCTTTGAAACGAATCATAGTTGACTGAATGACTAGTTGTGCTTGTTTCTGATACTGATTAGTTGTTTTTGAAGGATAAATTGTCATGTAAAATCCTAAAATAATGTCATAACAAATGATTATTACTTTTGTATTAATTGAAAAAAGTTAGCCTGATTTAAGGCCAGTCGGATTGTGGCATGAATCCTGTCCCAGCCCAAAACTTTACCGTTTCGTGTTGGCCAAACATGTTGTGCCTAAAATTGCTACTCCTATCTCGAGTCTGTAATTGTGATATTATTAAACTATGCTTCTTAGGTAGGTTGGTTTGTATGTCAGTTGATGTCCGGTTTGAACAATTTTGTTGAGAATTTATCCGTTTTACAATGATTAAGAAACTGTGTTGACAAGGGTAACCTTGGAAAATCTTACCAGATACCTTGTATCTGTATATATAGTTGCCAAAACTATCCTTGAGGTTTGACCTAATTATGATCAAATCCAATCAGCTTCAAAAAATACAAAATGCCCTTTAAGGTGTTCCAAATAATTCATGTGTTTTGCACTTTCCTATCAGTTTCTAAATAGAAGCAGGATACAATGGTGTATTCAATTGAAACATAACAGAAAGAAGACCTTCCCCCAATAACATTAAAGAGTTGAAGACCCATTCATCTTTTAGAATTACAAATAAACCCCTTGACACGTGTACTATATTAGCACAAGTGCACTTTTCATGAGGGATCAGACAATGGTAAATCTGTAAGGTAAATTCAAACTAATCGGATTATTGTAGTAGTGCTCAAACGAGTAGTGGCTTCTTTGTCATTAGACTAAACCGCAGGATGTAACCAACTTCTGCAATTAACCTGACTCATGGAGTCCATGCGGTACTTTATTTTTTTTCATTATTAGTCCTATATTTTTTTTGATTGTTATAAATTCGAGTAGTGTCCTTTTTCCAGTGCTCGTGGAGTAACGAAGCAACTCCACCTGGAACAGCCTCAAACCCTCTCAAGCGACCTGCACCGGCAACCCCTGGAACAGCCTCAAACCCTCTCAAGCGACCTGCACCGGCAACCATTGGCGGCCTATCGGGCGCTGAACTCTTGGCATACGAGCAGCCACTTGCAATGAGCAAAATGGGTCTGATGAGGCAACATCCCCTGAAGCAAGGGTCCATGGGAATGGGTGCGGGTGCAAGCCAGGCCATGTATGATGGGTCTACTGTTGATCTGTGAAGTTTGCGCGTGTTGTTTGTTTGGTCTGCGCATGGTCGTGCATGAGAAAGAGATGAAGGGCATTTACGATTTTACGTTTTTTTGTTTCTTTGCTCTTAGTTAAAATCGTGAGCCACTTGTAGACTCGTATTTTTCCAGTTTTATTTTCCTTTTGCATTTTTATTCAGCACACGTCTCGTGCTTCGATTTGTTACAGGCTTACAACTACTTGAGCTGAGGGAACAAATATGTCACGTGTTTTAGAACTTCATCTTCAACTTTTGGATCTCAATATTTTGAGCTGCAAGCTCGTTGAAAATGGTGATTGAAAATTTCCTTTGATTTGTTTTGTTTTGCTCGTAGGTTCGTAACCTAGAATTTCTACATGGTATCGAGAGTAGGTTGATTACATAAATCTCAATGGCAAGCAACAGAGACGAGCATGGGCATGAGATCGTGTAAAGCAACTACTTGAGGGACATCGATAAGTTGTCTCTTCATGGATCTGACCATCCTAGTTTGATCCTGGTCACAAATAAGCTCACCGGCATAAATTATCTTCACTAGATTCGAGCTATGAAGAAAGCTCTGAGTGCGGAATCGAAGCTCGGATTCATTGATGGATCAGTAGAAATTCCAGAGCAAAACACAGAAGATTACACTCGGTATATGAAGGTAGAATCTATGGTTATATCTTGGATGTTAAATTCTATTTCAAGAGAAATTGTTGAAACCTTCATGTATGTCAAAACTGTTAAACAATTGTGTGATGAACTAGCCGAGAGGTATAGAGAGAGCAATGGTCCACTCAAATATCAATTGCAAAAGGAGATAACTAATTTTGTTCAAGGCACACTTTCAGTTATTGCATACTATACTAAGCTCAAATGTTTGTGGGATGAATATGCATGCCTCATTTCACTGCCTGAGTGTGTCTGTGGCACTGGTAAAACTTTTAATGAAAATGATATGGAGATTAAGTTAATGCAATTCCTCATGAGAAGGAATGAAGTATTTGAACCAGTTAAAAATCAAATTCTGCTGATGGATCAATTGCCAACTATCAACAAGACATTAAATGTTGTTGAAGGTATAAAAACAGAAAAGCATGGTCAGAGGCATGATGAGCCCCTTGGAAACTTTCAGTTAGGTTGGTTAAAGGGAATTATGGCAGAGGGACATGATTTGGCCGTGGAAATAATGGGAGTGGGTCAGGAGGACAATACTACAATAATGGAGGAAGAGGTAGATGCTCACCAAAGTTATCAAAGGAGGATAGAGCAAAACTGTATTGCACTCACTGTGGCTACTTTTAAACTGAATGGGTATCCAGATTGGTACAAAGAGCTGAAACAACAAAGGCATGCATGATCACGAAAATCGACATAAACACAAAAACAACAACAAAAACCAGTCCACGACACGACAAATATAAAAAATAAAGCACCTAAAATGAAAGAAATATAGCCTAAGCATGCATGATCACGAAAATCTCTCTCGCACTTAAAATATTTTGTATATACAAAATATTTTATTATTGTTATTTTTATATATATTTATATGTCAAAAATACTATATATATAATTTTAAAAATTTTAAAATTAATTATCCGATTTAGCAATTGACCCGGTGACCCGACGGTTGAACCGGACTGGAAGATTCAGGGACAAACTCCGAGGATAATCTAGGTAATAATCGTCCTAACGACTATCCTTTGGAAAAATTTGCTCATATACAAAAAAAAAAAGAGAAAATGAAAAAAAAAGAGCGAGTTTACTATGTGTTTTCATTTTTATTTGCTTATTATATGTTAGAGTAGACATCTATAGCTTTTTGCACGTGTATTTGGAAAAATTAGAGTTTGAATCGAGTAAATCATGCGTAGAATGACTCGGGACGGATTTTTGTTTTGTATGGATTCATCTTGTTGGAACCGTGTCTTCGGATTTGAGTTTAATTTGTGGATAACCGGAGGAAGACGAGAGTTTCATTTCGCATGATTATTAATTTTGGGCCATTCGATTTTTTCTTCTCGAACCACTTGGGACTAAATGTGGGAAACAACAAAAGTTTTTGGACCAAATTTATAATTTTCTAAAAAAAATAACGACTAACGTTCATTGTGGAAGACTGTTTTTTTTTTTTTGGTACAAAAAAAAGACGCTAACGCAATTACATTATAACTGTACTACAAACGTTCCTAGCATACGAAACTCCACTAATGTCATGAGACAACCATTGTGGAAGACTGTTAACTATTGAGGGAGTGGTATCATTTTGACAACGAAAATTTAAAAAGGACTAGAGTTGACGTGCCTAAGACCAAATGTGGAAACAAAAAAAAATTCGGGACCAAATTTTTAATTTTCTCAGATATAGGCCCTCTCTGGGTTTTTCCTTCGCTCTACAAACCCTAAACCTGCACATCTCCTCCATCGATCATCTAATTTTCTCAGATATAGGCCCTCTCTGGATTTTTCCGTCGCTTTATCATCCCGGCCTTTTTGCTGCTCCTCAGGTTTAATTTTCGTTTTTTCCTTTTTTTTTTTTTTCTTCTTGGTGATGGATTATCTGTTCGTTTTAGGTATGCCTTAAATTTTGATTTTAGAGATGCTTGTTTTTTGGGTCTTCGCTGGGATAATTGCAAACTTTCGCGATAATTGGTTGAATGATGGTTCTCGTGTGAATTTTCTACTGTTACGGATTTGATTTTCTGTATAGGTTTGTGGATATCTGGTACCATGTTTGAAGGGGGAAGTCTGGAGCATGAATCTTTTATGTTTTACGTTTCTTCTGCAAAGTAGATTTTGAAGAATGTGTCCTAATATTTAGGTCTAATTTGGCCCTGCGCTTTATAAATTCAGCTGGGGATTGTGAAGTTTTTATCAAAAAGGTCTATTTGGGGATTAATAGCTTATTTATTATGATTATCTGATAGAGTGGAGAAAAAAAAAAAAAACGTTTTACCTGATTCTCTGAGGTGTCTGTTTTAAGTTCTGAGGAATGGAAGTTGCTAGGTGGAGGTGCTCCTTGAGTGCGGAGCATAGTGGAAAAAAATCTTAGGGAAGCAATAATTTTATGTGAGGGAGGTTAGATATATGACCGTAGAATAACGAGAGAAAAATGGATGGTTATTGTATCAAAAGGATTTCGGATGATGGTTTGTGATGGACCAGCACATGTCAGCAAGAAGTTAGGTGACATAGGAAGAAAATGAAAGGGTTTCTATAAATTTATAAAAGACAAGGCTTTTTCGCTGAATCTTAGATTGATGTGGGCAGTGATCAAATAATATTGGTATCGTCTATTTTAGACATGATAATGTAACTTTTAAGTTTTGAACCTCTACAAGCACTGTTCTATTTATTTATTTATAACTTTATTTTACTTATTTATCCAATCAGTTCATCGATGGTCGGCAAGTATGATGATCTAATGATGATTCAGCATCCATATCTTTCGATTTACCCTTGAGGCGAATGGAGGATTTTTGCTTCTAATTAAGAAGTTATTGTTTTACTACATCTTTCTTGTGTTCACTTTTGCATTTGGCAGATTGAGCCAATGGCACATGGAAATCTGCCTCCTGGGTTTGATCCAGGAACTTGCCTCAGTGTGTGAGTGCCTTGCAGTCATCTTTTCCTTCCTTTTCTATATTTTGTTTTTTATTGCACTCTTTGAATAGCTTATGTCATATATAAGTCCCAAAACATTGATGTCCTTTACAAGTTCGCTTGTCCATGGATTCAAATTGGCTTCAGATCTTGTTTAATTATTTAGGGACCTAATACTGTCTGTTGTTTTATTGGTTTTAGTTCTATCTGTAAAAATTCTTATGAATTCATCCATTTTTCCTTCTTTTCATTTCTTTTTGAATTTTTCTAGGGTTTTTATTTTTTGAGAACTGCAGGTATGTTGGGAATCTTCACATACAGACGACGGAGCCACTTCTCCAAGAAGTTTTTGCTAGGGCTGGTCCTGTGAAAAGCTGCAAGCTTGTTAGACAAAAAAACGTAAGAACACACTCAAGTATCCTCTTTCTTGTGCACTTTTATGCATTGAGTGGCCCAGATTCTCTCCTGGGATTATGTTCACATTCTTTTCCTTCTCTCTGTGCAGTCATCTTATGGTTTCGTTCACTACTTTGACTATAGATCTCCTGCACGTGCAATAACGTACCTCAACCGGAGTTATCTGTGAGTTGTAATAATTTAATATTTGGGTTTAAATTCCAGTGATACCAGAATCAGTATCATGTGTTTGAATTTCAGGTTTGAGCAGCCTATCAAAGTTGACTATGCTTATACCAGGGGTCAGAGGGAGGACACATCAGGTTGGTGTATATGGTGACATGAGGTTGCTTTTAGCTTTTTTATTTAAAAAATTCTGTGTTTTTATGAAATCATTTGACCTTGTATGCAGGCCACTACAACATATTTGTTGGTAACCTAAGTGCAGAGGTGACAGATGCTGTGTTGTTCGAATGCTTTTCTGTTTATCCTAGCTGTTCGTAAGTATACCCCCCTGCCACCTCCTATCATTTTCTCGATATATTATTAGTTATGGAAATTGCTGATGATCCCAAATTTTATGTTAGTGATGCAAGGGTTATGTGGGATCAAAAGACTGGCCTTTCCAGAGGGTTTGGATTTGTCTCTTTCAGGAGCCAACAGGTATGTTTCTCATATTATAAGTAGTGTCTGAAGAATTCCATTTCCTTAATCCTGATTTTGTTGTTTCTTTCCCTCAGAATGCTCAGAACGCAATTAATGACTTGACTGGTGAGAACTGTTTGTATTATTTCTTTTTACATTTACTTTTCTAATAATCTGAAGTTAACCGTGTTTATCTGCTTTCATTACCGCGAGTGTAATGTCGCTTTATGTGTCAATTTGCAGGAAAATGGCTTGGAAGCAGACAGATACGCTGTACCTGGGCCAAAAAAGGTGCTGGAAAGTGGAAACAGTGATGACCAGCAGAGCTCAGATGCTAAAAGTGTTGTGGAACTAACAAATGGCTCCTCTGGTTAGTGGATTGCGGTGTTAAAAAATTAACATCAGAAAATATCTTTGAAACGAATCATAGTTGACTGAATCACTAGTTGTGCTTGTTTCTGATACTGATTAGTTGTTTCTGAAGGATAAATTGTCATGTAAAATCCTAAAATAATGTCATAACAAATGATTATTACTTATGTATTAATTGAAAAAGTTAGCCTGATTTAAGGCCAGTCGGATTGTGGCATGAATCCTGTCCCAGCCCAAAACTTTACCGTTTCGTGTTGGCCAAACATGTTGACGTTGTGCCTAAAATTGCCACTCCTATCTCGAGTCTGTAATTGTGATATTATTAAACTATGCTTCTTAGGTAGGTTGGTTTGTATGTCAGTTGATGTCCGGTTTGAACAATTTTGTTTGAGTTTTATATATATTGATCTTTATTGGAAAAAAAAAAAAAAGATTATTGTTTGGAAGGACAGGACAGGATTTACTGCTTTATCTGCAGTTATCTTGCGTTTGGTAGCCTGAACAGACGGCCCGTTGGATATGTCTCGGCAGTTAGTGCTGTAAACGAACCGAACCGAGCCGAGCTTGGGCTGTTCGAGCTCGTGTTCGTTTACGTTCGTTTATTTTTTGAGCAAAAGTCGTGTTCAAGCTCGTCTGTTTAATTGTTCGTCAAAGTTCGAGTCCGTTCATGTTCGAATAATTTAATACATATATTTTTTAATATGTTTGATCAACTCGAAATTTGTTTGTTCGACCTCGAAAATAAAAGAATAAAATAAAAATATTTTTATACTTCAGTTTTTTTTATTAAAAATATTATGTAAATATATAAAAAATAAATAAAATTATATTAAATTTTAGACACTTTATTAAAAATATTATGCAAATATATAAAAAAATAAAATTAAATAAAATTATACTAAATTAATATTCGCGACCATAATCGAACGTTCCTGAACGAGCTCGTGTTCGTTCGATTACAATACGAGCTCAGAAAGAACTGTTCGTTCGAACTCAGCTCGATTAACAAACGAACGAGCTTTTGTCAAACACGAACAAGCTCGAACGAGTTTTTGTTCGTAAACGTTCGGTTCGTTTACAGGCACGGGATGAAAATGAAGTTTAATCTTCTTGCATACACACGGTTAATTAGTCTTGTGTTGATGAGGGTGACATATTTTTTGTCCAAACAGTGTTAGATAAAAAAAAAAAGGGAAAAGTCCACTTTTGGTTCTTCATGTTTAGGGGTATTCAGGCTGAGTCCCTATTATGTTTTGGTGCTCAATTTTAGTCCTTAAAACAAAAAATGTAGTCCCTATTATGTTTTCGTGCCCAATTTTAGTCCTTAAAACAGAAAAATATAGTCCCTATTATGTTTGGGTGCTCAATTTTAGTCCTAAAAATAAAAAAAAATGTAGTCCATATTATGTTTTGGTGCCCAATTTTAGTTCTAAAAATCAAAAAATGTAGTCCCTTAATCTTAATTTCTGTGAATTAACGGTCCATTTTTGTTAATAACATAAAAGTAGTTGTGTAAAATAATTTAAAATATCGCAAAGAGGTAATCAAATTTCAAAGGAACAAATTATTGACTTGATCATAAAAATCATGATACAGTCATTGCATATTTGTTAATTATTAAAGTGTACTTGAACCCGAGCACAACAGATGTGGTTTGCACAACCACAGCCGAGGCACTGGCCATGGACAAAATTGTCATTTACGCAAACCACCCCTCAAACGAGTTCTTCAAGCAGTTCCCCAACTACCGGACATACGACGACCCAGGAGGCTTCATCAGGGAAACGCGCAAGGCACTAGAAGATGAGCCGGACCCACTCACGGACGAGTGGATGGATTGTTGTGTGCAAGGTATGTAATATAAATATATAATTTTATTATTTAATATTTAATAATTAATAATTATGCAGTGAATGTATCATGATTTTTATGATCATGTCAA